ATTTACACTGTTGGGAATGTAAATTAGTTCAACCATTGTGGAAGTCAGTATGGCGATTCCTCAAGGATCTAGAACCAGAAATACCATTTGACCCAGCAATCCCATTACTGGTTATATACCCAAAGGAATATAAATCGTTCTACTATGAAGACACATGCACATGTATGTTTATTGTGGCATTATTTACAATAGCAAAGACACAGAAACAACCCAAATGCCCATCAATGATAGACTGCATAAAGAAAATGTGGCACATATACACTATGGAATACTATGCAGCCATAAAAAGGAATGAGATCATGTCCTTTGCAGGGACATGGATGAAGCTGTAAGCCATCCTCCTCAGCAAACTAACACAGAAACAGAAAACCAAACACTGCACGTTCTCACTCATAAGTGGGAGTTGAAGGTTGAGAACACATGGACACAGGGAAGGGAACAACACATACCAGGGCGTGTTGGGAGGTAGGCAGTGAGGGGAGGGAACTTAGAAGATGAGTCGATAGGTGCACCAGAACACCATGGCACACTTATACCTATGTAACAAACTTGCATGTTCTGCACGTGTATCCCATTTTTGGTTTTTTTAAAATAAATAAATAGAAGAACCTAGGCTTCACCTCATACCTGTTAGAATAACTATTAAAAAAAAAAGATAACAAGTGTTGGAAAGGATGTGGAGAAAAGGAAACCCTTACACACTGTTAGTGGAAATGTAAATTAGTACAGACATTATAGAAAATGATAGGGAGGTTTCTCAAAAAATTAAAAATAGGGCCAAACACGGTGGCTCATGCCTGTAATTCTAGCACTTTGGGAGGCCAAGGCAGGAGGACTGCTTGAGCCCAGGAGTTCAAGACCAGCCTGGGCAACATAGCAAGACCCAATGTCTCATAGAGACAAAAAATGTTTAAAATATTAAAAGCAAGATTATCATGCAATTCTGTAATCCCACTACTGGATATATATCCAAAGAAAATGAAACCAGTGTATCAAAGAAATATCTGCATTCCCATGTTCATTGCAGCCTTATTTACAGTAGTCAAGACATGGAATCAACCTACGTGCCCACCAATGGATGAGTGGATAAAGAAAATGTGGTATATACACAATGGAATAGTATTCCTCCTTAAAAAGTGGGAAATACAGCTGGGCACGGTTGTTCACGCCTGTAATCCCAGGACTTTGGGAGGAGAGGCAGGAGGATCACCAGATGTCAGGAGTTCGAGCCCGGCTTGGCCAACATGGCAAAACCCCATCTCTACTAAAAATACAAAAATTAGCTGAACATGCTCACTTGAACTCGAGGCAGAAGTTTCAGTGAGTTAAGATCATACCACTGCATTCCAGACTGGGTCACGGAATGAGACTCTGTCTCAAAAAAAAAAACAATCAGAACAATGTATTATATTCTTGAAGATTGCTAAGAGAGTAGATTTTAAGTGTTCTTACCACAAAAAAATGATAAGTATGTGAGATGATAGGTTAATTAGCTTGACTGGAACCTTCCACAATGTATACATATTTCAAAACATGTACACGATAAATATATACAATTTTTATTTGTCAAATAAATACTTTTTTTCTTTTTTTGTAGATCTTTTGAGAAAAAATACTTTTAAAAAAAATAAACTAGGTCTTTTTAGTCTCTCACTCCACCATATTTGACATTTTTTTAAACCTTTACAGGTTTATTATAAAGCGTATTACAAAGGGTACTGACGAACACTAGATGAAGAGATGGACAGGGCAAGGAATGTGGAAAGAGACAAGGAGCTTCCACGCCTCCAGGAACAGGAACCTCCAAGTATTAGATATCTGGAAGCTCTTTTTTTTTTTTTTTAAACAGGGTTTCACCATGTTGGTCAGGCTGGTCTTGAACTCCCGATCTCAGGTGATCCGCCCGCCTTGGCCTCCAAAGTGCTTGGATTATAAGCGTGAGCCACCACACCCGGCCAGATATCTGGAAGCTCTTTAAGCCCAGTCCTTTCTGGGTTTTTTTTTTTTTTTTTTTTTGAGACGGAGTTTCGCTCTTGTTACCCAGGCTGGAGTGCAATGGCGCGATCTCGGCTCACCGCAACCTCCGCCTCCCGGGTTCAGGCAATTCTCCTGCCCCAGCCTCCTGAGTAGCTGGGATTACAGGCACACGCCACCATGCCCAGCTAATTTTTTGTATTTTTAGTAGAGACGGGGTTTCACCATGTTGACCAGGATGGTCTCGATCTCTTGACCTCGTGATCCACCCGCCTCGGCCTCCCACAATGCTGGGATTACAGGCTTGAGCCACCGCGCCCGGCCTCTTTCTGGGTTTTTATGGAGATGTCATTACTTAGGCATGATTGATTAAATCATTAGCGATTGGCTATCAACTTAACTTTCAGTTCTTCTCCTGTTCCAGGAGGTTGGAGAGGGTAGGGCTGAAGGTCCCAACCCTCCAAACCTGCCTTTGTCTTTCTGGTAACCAGTCTTCAGTCAATCATTATCATACAAAAAGAGACACTTATCACTTTGAGGAGTCCAAGAATTTATAGGATTTGTATGCCAGGAAACAGGGACAAAGACCAAATATATATTTCACAGTATTACAGTTCATCTCCCACCTCTATCTTCAAACACAGATCCCTTACATGAAAAGGAATGTACGGCTGGGCTCACGCCCATACTCCCAACACTTTGGGAGACCAAGGAGGGCGGATCACTTGAGGTCAGGAGATAGAGACCATCCTGGCCAACATTGGTGAAACGTCATCTCTACTAAAAATGAAAAAAAAAAAAAAAAAATTAGCTGGCCGGGCGCGGTGGCTCACGCCTGTAATCCAAGCACTTTGGATGCCAAGGTGGGCGGATCACCTGAGGTCCGGGGTTCAAGACCAGCCTGACCAATATGGTGAAACCCTATCTTTATTAAAAAAAAAAAAAAAAGCTAGGTGTAGTGTGTGCCTATAGTCCCAGCTAGTTGGGTGGCTGAGGCTGGAGAATCCATTGAACCCGGGAGGTGGAGGTTGCAGTGACCTGAGATGGCCACTCCAGCTGGGGCAACAAAGGGAGATTCTGTCTCAAAAAAAGAAAAAGGATGTATAATTCAAAAGATACTGCCACATTACTAGAATATCATTCAATCACTAATAATCAGCCTCGTTCATCATATTGTATAAATATGTCTTCTAGGGTGACGTCACTCAGGTTTGCAGGCTTCCATTCGATCTTGTTAGCTTCCAAAAGCAGGAGCAGTCTTGGCAAACATAACTTCATCCTTTCAGGCATTTGGGGTAAGTGAGCTAGGAGACACTGTCATCTCTTGCTCTAAGTGTCTTTCAAGGTGTTAATGTATTTCTTTCTTCTTGTTGTTGTTCCTTGTATGTGACAATCAATGTGTTAATGTAGTATTGGATTTCCCTCATTATATAACCCATTTATTTATTCTTTTAGCCTCAGCTACTAATTGTCCTTCTCTTAATTTATTGCCAAATTTTTCCACCTTTGTGTTTTTTCAGTTCTTTCTTTTTTATTTTTCTTTTTTGACAGAGTCTTGCTCTGTCACCCAGGCTGGAGTGCAATGGTGCAGTCTTGGCTCACTGTAACCGCCACTTCCCGGGTTCAAGCAATTCTCATGCCTCAGCCTCCCAAGCAGCTGCGATTAAATGTATCCGAAACCACGCCCAGCTAATTTTTTTGTATTTTTAGTAGAGATGGGTTTCACCATATGGACCAGGCTGGTCTCTAACTCCTGACTTCAGATGATGTCTGCACCTCAGCCTCCCAATGTTCTGGGATTACAGGCGTGAGCCACCATATTATCCAGTTATTTTCTTTCTTTCTTTCTTTCTTTCTTTCTTTCTTTCTTTTTTTTTTTTTGAGACAGAGTCTTGTTCTGTCACCAGGCTGGAGTGCAGTGGCGCCATCTCGGCTCACTGCAACCTTCGCCTCCCGGGTTCAAGCAATTCTCCTGCCTCAGCCTCCCGAGTAGCAGGGACTACAGGCGTGTGTCACCACACCCAGCTAATTTTTGTATTTTTAGTAGAGATGGGGTTTCACCATGTTGGCCAGGATGGTCTGAATCTCTTGACCTTGTGATCTGCCCGCCTCAGCCTCCCAGACTGCTGGGATTACAGGTGTGAGCCACCGCGCCCGGCCCAGTTATTTTCTTTTTACTTAATTTTTTTTCTTGCTTCAAATCAACAACAGCTAAATTTTATTTATTTGTTTGTTTATTTATTTATTATTGATACATGACCATGATTCACTGCAGCCTCAAACTCCTGGGCTCCAGTGATCCTCCCAACTCAGCCTCTGGAGTAGCTGGGATTACAGATGTGAGCCACCACACCCAGCCTTTTCCATCTTTGTAGGGGAAATTAGGTTCTGCTACTGTGCTTGTCTAGACTGCATGCAGCAATGCTAGTCCAACAAGTGCTGCACCCTCAGTTCATTCCCTCTGAGATAGGGTAAGGTTACATAGGTGCAGAACTAGTGGGCCGTTTTTACCACCAGACAATATTGCTGCACTTGGTGTTAACCCTAATTTTGCCTGATAGGGTGAAGTACAGCCCACCCCCATCAGGTCCTTAGGAATTCTAACATGAGGTTTTTATTTTATTTTATTTTATTTTTTTATTATTTTTTTAAAGATGGGGTTTCACCATGTTGGTCAGGCTGGTCTTGAACTCCCAACCTCAGGTGGTCCTTGGCCTCCAAAGTGCTTGGATTACAGGCGTGAGCCACCACGCCCGGCCCAACATGAGGTTTTTTGGTTTTTGGCCTTTCTTTCTTAATTTCTTTTCTCTTTCTTTATTTCTTTCTTTCTTTCTTTCTTTCTTTCTTTCTTTCTTTCTTTCTTTCCTTCTTTCTCTTTCTCCTTCCTTCCTTCCTTCCTTCCTTCTTTCTTTTTTTCTTTCTTTTTGAGACAGAGTCTGGCTCTATCGCCAGGCTGGAGTGCAGTGGCATGATCTCGGCTGACTGCAATCTCTGCCTCCTGGGTTCAAGAGATTCTCCTGGCTCAGCCTCCTGAGTAGCTGGGACTACAGGCACGTACCACCACGCATGGCTAATTTTTGTATTTTTAGTATGGTTTCACCATGTTGGCCAGGCTGGTCTCAAACTCCTGACTTCAAGTGATCCTCCTGCCGGCCTCCCAAAGTGCTGGGATTACAGGCGTGAGCTACCGTGCCCAGCCAAACATGAGGTTTCTTAGGTATCATCCCTACTTCCAGCATTTATAGTTGCAGACCTGGTCCTATGACCACTGTATCAAGGAGAGGAAATTTTCTTTTAAGGATGAGGTGATGTGGGGAAGAAAAAATGATTATAGGGCCAGGCACGGTGGCTCACACCTGTAATCCCAGCACTTGGGAGGCCGAGGTGGGTGGATCACGAGGCCAGGAGTTCGAGACCAGCCTGACCAACATGTTGAAACCCTGTCTCTACTAAAAATACAAAAATTAGCCAGGCGTGGTGGCGCGTGCCTGTAGTCACAGCTATTCAGGAGGCTGAGACAGGAGAATCTCTTGAACCCAGGAGGCAGAGATTGCAGTGAGCCGAGATCAAGCCACTGCATTCTAGCCTGGGCAACAGAGCGAGATTCCATCTCAAAGCCTCCTGAAAAAAAAAAAAAAGATTATAGTTGTTATACCACTGTACTCCTCCCTTGGCAAGAATTGCATATTCATACTGAAATCCTTTCCCATCCTTTCTTCCCCAGATCTACCAGAAAAACAGAAGAATCTGTAGTGCAGACATTCCTTTAGTCCCATTCATGCTGAGTGTGAGCACACACTCATGAAGGCGTGTAAGCCAGACCCTCATGCCTTTATTTCTCCCCATTTTAGATAACCAATCTTTGGATTGCCAGTTCTCTATCTCTATCAAACTGTTTCCTCTTCTTCTTTTTTTTTTTAAGACGGCATTTCACCATGTTGGTCAGGCTGGCCTTGAACTCCCGAACTCAGGTGATCCGCCCGCCTTGGCCTCCAAAGTGCTTGGATTACAGGCGTGAGCCGCCACGCCCGGCCTCAAACTGTTTTTTCTTCTAACAACTTTGTTTCTGACTCTATCAAACTGCTACTCAGAGGAGGGTGTCTCTCTGCCCATTGTTGGATATTGTGGACTGTACAGTGCGTTCCTTGGCCTGAAAAAATGACTGGTGGCCATTGAACTCCATGCAATATCTTCTGTCCTGGTTCTTCCATAGCACTCTGGGTATTTGCATCTTCTACCAACTAAGCAAAGCCCAACCTATTAGGATCCATTTGTAGCCCTTCAGGGCTACCAGTATTAGTCTGACTTGTCAGCTATGTTCAAGGGGCTTCTCACCAGGGTATCTGCCACATAGTCATCGGCAGTCTCTGTCTCTTTTGTGGCATACAGAACAGTTCTTAATTGGCCTTATGTGCCTGAGAGGGTGCAAAGGGAATATGTCTCAATTCAGCCCGTTTCTACATTGCTGTAGAATCCTGATATCCACTCATTTCTTGACCCAGGTGTTTGCCTTAAATGAGCACATAAGGATATCTGCTTGATTATTCTAATCACCTTCCAAAACAAAAGGGAGTTATTGTGAGGGCCATTGATATGTTCTGCTTTTTAAAACAAATTTAAAATTTAATTTAATTAATTAATTTTTTTAGATAGTCTCATTCTGTTGCCCAGGCTGGAGAGCAGTGGGGCGATCTCAGCTCACTACAACCTCCGACTCCCAGGCTCAAATGATTCTCATGCCTCAGCCTCTCAAGTGATTCTCATGCCTTAGCCTCTGGGCCTTCTGCCACCACGCATGGCAACTTTGGGTATTTTTAGTAGAGACAGGTTTCGCCATGTTGGCCAGGCTGGTCTCAAACTCCTGACCTGAAGTGATCTGCCCACCTCAGCCTCCCAAAATGCTGGGATTACAAGCATGAGCCATGGTGCCCGGTGACATATTCTTTAATGCACCCCTCAAATTTCCACAGGACTGTGCCACATGTGGGCATCCCCTTAGTAGACCACGTTTCCATTGCCCTCCTGCCTGAGTATATAACCAGGCATTGGACACTGCCCAGGAGTCAGTATAAACCCAAACACAAGGGCTTTCTACCAATGTTCAATCCTTCCATCACTGCTAGGGAAACAGCATGCAATTCAGCCCACATACTGGTTTGTTTTTGCCTTCTTCGATCGTGGCATCCTCCCGAATGGAATGTTATCTATTCACCTTGGAACTGCCATCCACAAACCCAGCAGCTCTTTGTCAGTCAGTTGAGAGCTGTGTATAGGGCATTGAAGAATCCATCTGCTTCTCACACAGTTCCAGAGTCTGTCCTAGGGGAAAAGAGGCTACCTGCTCCTGAGTATCTCCTCCTTGCATTCCCCAGGTTGCGTGATTCTATATAAACCATTTCCATTTCATTACGGAATTCTTCTGGTTATTGCCATCCCCCTTACAGTGTTCCTTTGACTTCACCTAAGACATCGTGGAGATTTTAGGTTTAAAGATTTACAAGTGATACAGGTGAAGAGATGTACAGGGTAAGGTATCAGAAGGGGCCCAGAACCTCCATGTGCTCTCTGGGGTGCCATCTTCCACGAACCCCCAGATGCTCAGCTGTCTGGAAGCTCTCTGAATCTGGTCCTTGGCATGTTGCCTTTTTGTCCCTAGGCTTATTTTTTTTTTTCTCTTTTTTCTTTTTTTTTAAAGATGGGGTTTCACCATGATGGCCAGGCTGTTCGTGAACTCCTGACCTCAGGTGATCCACCTACCTCGGCCTCCCAAAGTGCTAGGATTATAGGCGTGAGCCACTGCGCCCAGCCCCTAGGCTTATTTTTTAAAGTCCTTTTCAGGATATTTGTCCCTAGACTTTTTGCTTTGTGCTTGCAAGATGGGCTGCTGAATCTGGATATCATAACTGCATTCAAAGGTCAGGAGTTTGAGGCCAGCCTGGCCAACATGGTGAAACCCCATCTCAACTAAAAATACAAAAATTAGCTGGCCGGGCACGGTGGCTCATGCCTGTAATCCTAACACTTTGGAAGGCTGAGGCGGGCAGATTGCCAGAGCTCAGGAGTTCGAGACTAGCCTGGGCAACATGGTGAAACGTCGTCTCTACTAAAATAGAAAAAAATTAGCCGAGCGTGGTGGTGTGTGCCTGTAGTCCCGGCTATTTGGGAGGCTGAGGCAGGAGAATTGCTTGAATCCAGAAGGAGGTTGCAGTGAGCCGAGATGGTGCCACTGCACTCTAGCCTGGGTGACAGAGCAAGACTCTGTCTCAAAAAAAAAAAAAGGGGGCCGGGCTTGGTGGTTCATACCGGTCATCCCAGTACTTAGGGAGGCTGAGGTGGGTGGATCACCTGAGGTCAGGAGTTTGAGACCAGCCTGACCCACATGAAGAAACCCCATCTCGACTAAAAATACAGAATTAGCCAGGCATGGTGGCATATGCCTGTACTCCCAGCTACTCCGGAGGTTGAGGCAGAAGGATTGCTTGAACCTGGGAAGTGGAGGTTATGGTGAGCTGAGATCACGCCATTGCACTCCAGCTTGGGCAACAAAAGCAAAGCTCCATCTTGAAAAAGAAAAAGAAATTAGCCAGGCATGGTGGCGCATGCTTGTCTGTAGTCCCGGCTATTCAGGACACTGAGACCAGAGAATTGTTTGAACCCCGGAAGTGGAGGTTGCAGTGAGCCAAGATTGCGCCACTGCACTCTAGCTTGGGCAGCAGAGTGAAACTCTGTCTCAAAAAAAAGAAAAGAAAAAAGAAACTTAATCTATATATCTCCTTTGCCATAACTGATCACATTAGGCCAGGGAGTAAGACCACCTTTCTTGAGATCGGGTTCTCTGCCTAAAACCTGAACAAAATTAGCATTCTGTTAGCAGGAAAGGAGGGGGAGAATACCAGCTGATTAGACAAGCACTGTGTTTGCTACATATACTTACCCTCTGACTGAGCTGTTTGGAGTAAGGAATAAATGTACTAACAGACTGGTGTGGTGGCTCACGCCTGTGATCCCAGCAGTTTGGGAGGATGAGGTGGGCAGATCACGAGGTCAGGAGTTTGAAACCAGCCTGACCAACAGGGGGAAACACTGTCTCTACTAAAAGTAGAAGAGTGGAGAGAGAGATCCAAGATGGCTGATCACTAGCAGCTCAGGATTTTAGCTCCCAGTGAAAGCACAGAGAACGAGAGGACGCCACACTTTCAGACGAATTTTTGTTGCTCACGCACCAGGAGATTCCCAGCAGAGGAGCCCCACGGGTTGCCAGTGCGACTCTTGCGGCCGGCGAGGCGACTTTGCCGCTGCCTTGGTGCGGTGGTTCTTGGTGCAGAGTCAGAAAAGCACCATCAATCTTAATGCCGCTGTGTTGGTAGGCGTAGTGGGTTGCTCAGATTTTAGCGCTGGGAATCAACAAGTTGGATGTCCACTCAGAAACCCAATTATAAAGACGGTAATCATAAAGACCACAGATGGATAAATTTATAACGAAGGGAAGAAAACAACCTAAAAAGGCTGAGAATACCCAAAATCAGAATGCCTCTCCTACTACAGGGGATCACAGTTCCTCATCAGCAACGGAACAAGGCCTGATGGAGAATGAGTGTGTTCCATTAACAGAAGCAGCCTTCAAAAGATGGATGATAAGAAACTTCTGTGAATTAAAAGAACTTGTTCTGGCCGGGCGCGGTGGCTGAAGCCTGTAATCCCAGCACTTTGGGAGGCCGAGGCGGGTGGATCACGAGGTCAAGAGATCGAGACCATCCTGGTCAACATGGTGAAACCCCATCTCTACTAAAAATACAAAAAATTAGCTGGGCATGGTGGTGCATGCCTGTAATCCCAGCTACTCAGGAGGCTGAGGCAGGAGAATTGCCTGAACCCAGGAGGCAGAGGTTGCAGTGAGCCGAGATCGCGCCATTGCACTCCAGCCTGGGTAACATGAGTGAAACTCCGTCTCAAAAAAAAAAAAAAAAGAACTTGTTCTAACCCAATGCAAAGAAACTAAGAACTTTGAAAAAAGGTTTGATGAAATGTTAACAAAAATACACAATTTAGAGAGGAATATACGTGAATTAATGGAGCTGAAAAACATAACACAGGAACTTCGCGAACTACGCACAAGTTTTAACAGCCGAATCGATCAAGCAGAAGAAAAGATATCAGAAGTCGAAGACCAACTTAATGAAATAAAACAAGATGACAAGATTAGAGAAAAAAGGATAAAAAGGAATGAGCAGTCTCCAAGAAATATGGGAATATGTGAAAAGACCTAATCTACGCTTGATAGGTGTACCTGAATGTGACAAAGAGAATGAATCCAAGCTGGAAAATACACTTCAGGATATTATTCGGGAAAATTTTCCCAACCTAGCAAGGCAGGACAATATTCAACTCCAGGTAATACAGAGAACACCACAAAGATATTCCTCAAGAAGACCAGCCTCAAGGCACATAATCACCAGATTCACCAGGGTTGAAATGAAGGAAAAAATACTGAGGGCAGCCAGAGAGAAAGGTCAGGTTACCCATAAAGGGAAGCCCATCAGCCTCACAGCAGATCTCTCAGCAGAAACCCTACAAGCTAGAAGAGAGTGGGGGCCAATATTCAACATCCTTGAAGAAAAGAACTTTCAATCCAGAATTTTACATCTAGCCAAACTAAGCT